ATGCAAGAGACTGAGGTGCCAACATGGGGTCAGCTGAAGAAGTTAACAACTGAGGCCCAACAGATGGTAGAAAAGCAAGAAGTGGAAGCTACTCTCTCAGCCAAGTCCAAGGACTCTGAGTAAATCAGCAAAAGAAACTTTCATTTAGCAGAAACTCACTTATTTTGTCAAATGGAAAAACTTACTTACAGGAGCCTGGAAGGGACCTGATGTACTTTTAACCTGGGGGAGAGGAGATGCTTGTATATTTCCACAGGATGCAGACTCACCTGTGTGGATTCCAGCCCGGCTAGCTCAGTCGGTAGAGCATGAGACTCTTAATCTCAGGGTCGTGGGTTCGGGCCCCACGTTGGGCGCCAGGAGAAACTGGATAGACAGAACCTAGAGACAGGACTTGGCTGGAGATCCTAGACAGAACCTAGAGACAGGACTTGGCTGGAGAACCTAGACACAGAACCTAGAAACAGAACCTAGCAAGAGAACCTGGCTGGAAAACCTAGAGACAGAACCTAGACACAGAATCTAGAGACAGGACTTGGCTGGAGATCCTATACAGAACCTAGAGACAGAACCTAGAGAGAGAACCTAGGGAGAGAACATGGCAAAAGATCTTCGTCAGAACCTGGCTATAGAACCTGGCTGGGGAACCTAGACAGAACATGGCAGGAGAACCTGGATAGAACCTGGCTGGAGAACCTGGAGAAGCTGGATGGAGAACCTAGCGAGAAAACATGGCAAGAGAACCTGACTAGAACCTGGCGACAGAACCTGACTGGAGATCCGGGCTAGAACCTGGCTGGAGAACATAGGGAGAGAACGTGGCACCAGAACTTGGTTGGAGATCCTGACCAGAACTTGGCTAGAGAACCTGGCTAGGCTGCTGATCAACTGAACGCTGCCTCCGTGTCATTCCTTCTTCGCCGACTCCGTCCACACCTTTGGGGACCCCTGGACCTGCTGGGGTTGGACCCCAGCACTTCCTGTTTTCAAAAAGAATGTTGTGCACTTGACTGGGAATCTAACCCAAAACACATTGAAGCCCCGGCAGACACTCTGACCACACAGTCCCACAGGCCAGGGCTAGGCCAGTACATTTGAAGGTAATTGATCTTTAAGATCTTACAGTGGGTCTTCTGTCTGCAATTCTATGGGTGATGATCACTGGTTTTAGGACCATAGAGGTTACAAAATGATTGCTACAGAATCACTAGCCTCAGCCGGATTGGAGAATCCTGTAGCCAGCTACGTGGAATTGGTCTCCTCTATACGTGCATCCAGAAACGTTTCTGTGAAAAAGACGGCAAGACCAGCGTGTTCACATATCTGAGGATCTCCAGGCATGTTTATCTTCAGTGCTCAAACTCAATGTCCTTAAAAATAATCAAAGGGTTTTGTGCCTTTCGGTACCGTCTTAGATCTTTACCTGATGATCAGAGAGCCCAGGCAGGAAATCAAAGGTAAAGGAAAGTGGCATCTATAGAGCAGGGATGTAGCTTTTGTGACCCAGTCAGAGGATAGGAGAACCTGGATTGAATAGAGAGATGCCAAACGAAGTGTTGGACATACAAAATTTTATTTTGACATTTTGAACCATTTTTCAAACGTTTTAATTAGTAAAGACCACGTTTCAAGTGTAGTATTTGAGGAGTCTTGACATAGGCATGAAAGTGAAACCATCACCATGGTCATGGTATTGTCCATGGCTGTCACTGTGAATTTACTTCATGTCTTTTTATAAATTCTCTCTCTCTTTTCAATAGTAAAGACATTTATGTGCTCTTGTCTCCAACCCCAAATTACTCCTTTCTTTATTCATCTATACAAGGGACATAATAGGTGAGCAGTTGGGCAATAAAAGGCCTCTAAGTCCAGCCAGAGTGGAACAGTGGATTGAGCATCATCTTATGCACCAAGAGATCACTGGTTCCATTCCCAGTCAGGACACATGCCTGGTTGGGGTCTTGATTCCCAGCAGGAGATATGCCCCGGGGCCGGGGCCCTGGGTAGTCGATGTTGTTTCACTTGCACAGCAATATTTCTCTTCCTCTCTCTCTAAAAAATAAATAAATAAATCACTAAAAAGTCTTTAAAAATATTTAAAGGAAAAAGAAAAAAGATTCAGAGATATTCAATAGCAAACAAACTGGTAGCGTATCTGTCAATAAAGTTTTGATAAACACAGCTTTGTTTTTTGCTAAATTTTTCGGGGGGGGGGGGGACTTTTTCCTCTAAATGTGTTATTTTAAAAAGGAGGGGCAGCTTTTTGCCCCTGGGAATGTGGTGGCTCAGTTGGGTTAAGCGGCCACCCTGGTGCAGCAAAAAGTCTACAGGTTCCCATTCCCAAATCAGGGTCACATGCCCCAGTTTTCAGGGTTTGTTCCCATCCCCCAGTTGGGATGTGTGGGGTGGGGTGAGAGAGGCAAACCCATTTGATGTTTCTCTCTCCCTCTCTCTAAAATAAATATAATGTATGTATATATCTGTCCATATCCATATCCATATCCATATCCA